TGAAAGCCTGAAATGAGGTGTAGGGCTGGATATTAGGAAAAATTTCTGCACAAAAAGGTTTGTCAAGCTTTGGAACAGGCTGTCCAGGGAATTGGTGGAGTCACCATCCCTGGAGGTATTTAAAAGATATGTACATGCTGTTCTTAGGGACATGGCTTAGTGGTGGACTGGGCAATACTGGGTTAATTGTTGGATTTGATGATCTTAAAGGTCCTTTATCACCTAAATGATTCTGTGATTTTATGATTGTTAGTCATCTGGCATTTATCACAGCTCTTTAAAGAGGTGTATAAGTCTCAGATGCATGTGCTATTTATTTTACATGTGAAATGATTAGTGAATTACAAAAGAAAGTCCTCAGTAGGTAGGAAATGTCAGGAGCAATGTGGCCTTTGCAGAAAGACCTTGAGCTGCATATTGAACAGCAAGGATGGGAAAGTATTGAACAGGTGATGATTGACTGTGTACTCTCTGCCTGGGGCACCAAATGGGGAAGGGTCTCTCAGGTATACAAAGCAAAATGCACAGGCAGTGGTTCTGGCAGCTCCTCACTTCTGAGTGTTCAGGTTCACAATCTGCATTGCAATTCACATTAAATTGGCCATGTCCAGGGAGAAAAAGAAGAGAAGAGAAAAGTGGACTCTTATCACACTGCATCAGAGTGACACCCATGTGGGTCATCAGCAGGGCCAGAATGTGTTCAGTCTCCTGCTGAGACATGCTGAGCTGAGCTGGTGGCACTCACAGCAGTGTGTCAGCCTTTATGTCAGCCCTGCACCCACCACACATGACTGTTCCCTTTGTTCTGGCTTTCCAGCCTGAGCACTAATTTTAAGAGAGGCATGGCAGCGCATCCCCTGCTGCTGCAATAACCCCGTGGCTGGGCTTTAATGCACCCCTGCCAGCAAAGGGGAGCCTGTGCTGTCACTGCGTGTTAGGAGTACGAACCCAAGCCCAGCCAGTGATTCAGGCCCCTCAGGGGATGGGGGCAATGAGGTGCCTCTTAAATATTTGTCTCTGACACACCCCAGCATGTGCAATAGCAGAACTGTAGGCACTAGTATACCTTTCCAGGACATAACATAGATGGAAGCACAATTTAAATGGGGATTTGTGAATGACACCCTTGCCTGCAGGAGCTAAATTCAGCCCATCATGCTCAGGGAGTTATGAAAGAACATTATCCTACATTTACATGATGCAGTGAAGCACCATGCAAAATTACCAGCCCACTGGCAAATGTATCAGTTCAGGAATCAGCACGGCTGTACAAGCATGGCCCCACATCTTGGCCAGTTAAGCCTGACAAAAAAGGTAGAGCTAACTTGTTAAATTAGAGTCATGGTAAAGGACGTGCTCTATAGAATCAGGATTAACCTGAGGCTTAAAACATTGCACTGATGTGGAAGTGGTTCATGAACAATCCTTGATGACCAGTAAAAATCTAAAATTTACTTGAACACATGCTAATGAGTGTCATCTCCTTTGTGGAAAACTGACATTTTTTTCAAAGGCTTGCTAACACTATCAGTTTCAAACAGATTGTATAAAGGATCTGGGAACCACATCATTAATTCAATAGAGACTGTCAAATTCTGAGCCTTGGTTTCAAAGCAAGGTGGTAAATAAAGGTGGCAAGTGCATTTCTTCAAGAATTATATTTGATGGACAATATACAATAAAAGTATATTTTTCAGGCTTTGTTCTTGGAATGGCTGAAAGATTATGCTGAGGATTTTTTTCAAAAGAATTCTGCTTGCTATTCCACATGTAATATGCTAAAACTAAATGGTTAAAATTTGGAAAAATTATATACCCACTGAAAATTGAGGCTTATAATTTCAACCATTAAGCAACACTTCTAGGTGATATTTTCTGCATTACCTATAGTCATGTATCAGATGAAACATTTCAGACAGAGAGGCAAGATTAAAAAAATTCTTACAGCTGTGCTGTGAAGTGTTGCAAAAATAGTTACAACTAAAACATCCTTTCTTGTGATCACAGATTTTTTTAGAGCATGCCAAACACTGCTGGAAAAAGAGCCATTCAAAAAGTGATCGTCTTGGTATATGTGTTCTCATATAGAAATAAATTGAAGGCAATACCACCTATGCAGCAGTGACAAGTTAATTCAATTTCCATCTCAAAATCAGGTAAAGTGTATCTCATTTGTTACCATGGATACAAGACATTATTTCCATTTGTTTGAGATCTCACAGTGGGTATGAAATTAAGCTGTGACACAGTTTTATGGAGGAAGTTGACTAAAACCCCATAAGTTCAATGTCATTAGTCCAAAGGATTTTCTTTTTTTAGACACAGCAAATAAGGAGGTTGCTACTACTGCCCATAAGGTACACTTCATAAGCAAACATCTGTGTGATTTTCCTGATGCTACTTTAGATCAGTGGGAGTGATGGAAGAGAAAATAAACATTCATTTCATCAGTCCTGCAAACACAGGGAAGAATTCTGAAAAACATCCAGATGGTAGAAGTATATTAAAAATACATCGGTGGTGTGTTATTTGCTATTGTTTGGCATCAAATGTGTTTACAGAAAATGTCTTGATTCTGAGAATGCATCCAATTTTTCTCAGATAAATCTGCTTTTCAGGCTGCAGCTCAAATCACTTGTTCTCTGGTTTTCAGAGTTAGAAGAAGTGCATGAAAGAGTAGGGGAGAATGAGGAGAAAAGAAGAAGGAGAAATATGTTTTTCAATGCTGACATATATGAAGGGTTCAGGAATTCAGTGGCATTCAGTTTACCTTGTCTGAAATTAATTTTAATATATACAAAAGGATAAAAGGGAATACAGGTCTTCTTGTTAAATTATTTATACTCAAGTCCTGGATATATATTTAATATTTCATAGTGAGACTGATTTCCATAGATGCTGAGCACCTGCTACACTGATGGATTTCAGCTAAGATTGTCATCTCTCAACATTTACAAGACCAAGCTGAGATAAAACTGAGTCTACCTAAATCAAAGGTTTATTTCTACATATTCATGCATTAATTGCATGAAAATCACAAAGGTTATGGGATGTCATGACTGTGGCTAATTACTGAAATCCAAAACCATCATCCAGCTGCTTAACTGACTGATAATTTCCCACCAAATGTTCTGAACTTCACGTCCTGTGCTTCTGTGTTGCTGCTCTCCTCAGCACATTGTCAGACTGGATTATCTGCAGTGTCTTCTCCAGCTCCTTGGGCCATCTCTAATTATATCCCATTGGGAGCAAATGGGTCTGACCCTGAGACGGCAAACTAGAAAAATTGAGAACCTCACAGCAAAACTGTCACGAACACAGAAACTCTCAGAGGAGTAGGGACTGCAGTGTCCATGGCCAGCTGAACAGAGAGATAAGTCAGTAACTCTGTGTTATTGATTTGCATTATTAACATTTGCTTGAAGTTCAATACAAATCTATTTATATTCTACAGACTTGATTATACTTCATCCAGACCCCAGACAGAAAATTATAATAATGCCAAATGGGTGCTAGGGCTCCAGAATTTTTCTGCCTCCTTTTCACTAATTTTAATGGAGAATTAGCACCAGGATTAAATACAGCACAATTTTTACATATGGTGTTAAATTTATTAAAACCAGTGATATTTAAGTATCCATTTATATAAGGATAAGATCATGAACAGACCTCAAGCTTATCTAAAGTATACAGAAACCTTAAGTGTTTCTGAGTAATGACTTAATTCTGAAGTCTGGGAAAGATTTCATTCCTGAATTATCAATTACTTATTTTCAACTTTTAAAGTATTTTGGTCAGAATTATTCCACCATACAATAATCACCCTGATTTTGTTAAAAATTGCAGGCTTAAAGGGGCTTGTGTTGATATCAATATGTGTGCAGGGTTGCCTTGTGCATTAGCTGGATTTGCAGACTTGCTGGATTCGATGGGCACCAGGACAGCCGTGCAATTCCTAACCCAACTAGGCAGCTCAAATGTAAATGAGTATCTCCTGGGTTTTGCCATACAAAAGCAGCTTAGTACAGTCTGGAAGTGGGAACAACTTGTCCCCTTCTGGAATCTAATAACCGGGGGTGACAGAGGAGTGTGTGCGATGCTACAGATGAAGGAAGCAAACTTAACCTCCGCAGTGCCAGGCTGAGAAGCTCCACTGCAGCTGGGAGCACGGCCCAGTGCAGTGCTGAGCCACTGCCCTTGTGTTCTGCCACATACCAGCTGAACACAAGTGCCTGGGCAGGGAAGATGCTGCCCACATGCACGCTGGGTGAGGGCTGCTCGTGTGTCACTGGACATGTCAGACAACGCAGTGGGAGCAGGCTGGATGTGCTTGCCAAGACTCACCCAACACAGTGTCAGGAGCACACCAACAAATAAGGGATAATAATTATGATAAACTGACACCCCTTGCTCCTGCAGGACACAATGCAGTTTCTCGTTGACTGGTGTCAGAGAAAAAAGCTGTTTTGATGCACTAAACCACTTAAAAACTGTCTGAATGAAAAGGTTACATCCATGGGTCAGCATAAGTGATAATAGCTCAGGAAATAGCACTAATGTTGCTAACAATTTGCAAGTTAAGGACCGTAGTCTGGACACGCTGATGTCTCAGTCATTCTCAAACAATAGCAGAAAAAAAAGATGCAGATGAATGCAAACGAAAACACCACAGAGCATTGATTATGATACATTAGACAATTTTAAAAAATTGTTGTGCAATACCAGAGCCAGTTGGATTAAGTGAGAAGAGGAACAGAGCAATTTGCTCATAACTAGCAAACGCATAAAGAGTTTTCTTTGGATGATCAATGCATTTTATGAATTCCTAAAAGGACTATGCCTAAATATATCCCCAAACTCTCCTCCCTTTCCCCCCATCTAAGTCCCTGTGATTTTCTGAAAAGAAATCAGGACCTTAATGAATAATCTTGAGTACAGCAGAGCCCCATGGTACCACTTTCCTAAAATAGAAGACCTGTTCTTTTCCTCCTTAGCAATACCTGCTGCATGCCTTGCATTGTCTGCTGTAGGAACTGCAGCTGCTGGTCCTTTGTAAGGCTCTCTTCTGTTCGAAAGAGCTGTCCTTTCTCCTGCTTCAGGAGCTCCACTTCATTCCTGTAAGCATCCAGCTGCCATCGGAGACTATCGTTCTCTTCCTTCAGCGCATATGCTTGGGCGGCTAGAGCTAGGAGAAAATGAAAATGTGAAAAAAAATCAGTGAAATGGATTGTTTCTTTTCAAATAATACAGGGGGCATTGTCTGGAGAGATGACAATACAGCTGAACGCCAGTGAGACATTTCAGAGCTGAGACAAGACCCAGCAGAGCTGAAAATGATTAGGTTCTGGCAAGGATTGTTGCTGGGAGGTTATTTCCTGGGATGGAAGAAGCCATAAAGTGACCCTGGATAATTCAAATGCTACTTGCAATCTGGCTGCTAAATTTAGGCTTATATTTTAGGAAGAAGCTGGCATGCAGTCCAAGGGCAAGCCACTCACCAACTTTACAACATTTTCCTGTTGATGTTATAGGAACTGATACAGCCATTTAGTATTTATACTTGCACAGTGGCCAGATGTTCCAATCCGGTCTGTGCTAAGGAATTTTCCCAATGCGAAGTTGCTGGATTTAGTCCCATGAGAGAGGAAACATAGACATTTCTCTCCAGTCTTGCTATGAACTACTTCACACCAACAGTTGTGAGGAACCATTTAGACATAAAAATGGTGTAATAGAAAAAAAATATATAAAATACAAATGCTGAAAAAAAGTGTTGGCACTACAAGAACATTACTACATTAAAGGCATTGAAAGACACTTAAGTCATTTCCTTAGGAAGCGCCATTTGGCCCCTTTTCAATTTAGAATGGCATTTTTATTATCATAACTGATAGCAGGTGTTTGTGAAGAAATCGATTAGTATGCAGGGATGAAAATTACATTTGCCAAATGACTTGCACAGTTTGCAATATAAGCTAAAATTTGTGTAGCAAAAGGCAGAAGGCTATAAAGCATGTAGTAGGAACATTATTTAAATAAATTATCCGAACATAAATACATATAGGGAAAGGTGGCATTCATTAATTAGGGATGTGGCTATCATCCTATAGAAGAACACACTCCTGGTAGTATTTATATTTGGCAGGAGCAGTGGCCATTTGGCATAGCAAACTGCCATACCATGCTATTTTCTTTCTTGGAACCTGGTGACACAACAACATTACAGAGCAGCTGTAATTAAAAAACAACAATCTACTATGGCCTGTTCTGTCAACATTTGGTAACTGAACCACATAACTGATTTACATTCCTGATTAAATGATTTCAGGCTTGGTATCACAGAACTCTTTTTTGCCCACCTACAACAGCAGTATGGTTAAACTCCAAATTATAAGAAATTGCATATTAACTCCATTTAATACTAGGCACCTCTTGACTAGACCTTCTGCAGATAAAGAGTCCCCTGTTCCCCATGATAACATGATTCAGCACATTTGTGAAATTATACCAGCAATTAGGTAGAATGTCACAATATTTCATTAGCAATAAAAATGTTTTATCTTTGGTAGGACAAATCTACCTTCATTTCAGATAATTTTTGCTAATTTTAAAGTAGTGCAAATGCATTATTCAAAATAAAGTACAGTCAGCTACTATTCAAATACAGACAAGGACTGGCTACTCTGCTCAATTTGGATATTTTGCAGAATCTCTGCAAGATTTAGCAAGAGTTACAGTATTGTTATATCAAATTAAATTGTTCTGAAAAGCATGTAATCATCCTTCCATGACAAAATTTACCCTCAAGAAATTGCACTGATGAGTCCAATGGGCAAATAGGAGGATGAAGTACTTTTTTTAGTTTTTATTTTTTGTAAGAGCCAACAAGCTAAAATAAAAGAAAGGATTAAAAAACAAAAAACAAAAAACAAACAAACAAACAAAACAAAACAAAAAAAACCCAAAAAACCCAAAAAGAGGCCCAGCAAACAGAAACATCTGTCCAAGAAAAAAAATCTCAAGTCAAAATTAAATAGTTTGTGTTGGAATGGACCTCTAAATATTATTTAGCACAACTTGTGCAATTGTCTCACCATCCTCATCCTAAAATATTCTTCCTTACATCCAATCTAAACCTACCCTCTTTCAGTTTATAACTGTTTCCCCTTGTCGTGTCACTACAGCCCCTGGTGGAAAGTCTCTCTGTCATCTGTACTCTCTTACTTCTACCAATTAGACTCTCATTTAATATAACACCAAATTCTAGCAAGAAACTGCCTACCCTTCAGCTCCCTGAGAACAGGAATAGAGACCATCAGAGATGCACTCAAGTTTCCACAGCAACTCGAGAGCAGTAGTTCACCTGCTGCTCTTCATCTATTCCAGCTCTCCAAAAACTTCTGAGAGCTGCAGTACAAGTGGGGGTGTGAGGCCTGTGTATTCCCCCACTGAAATGTGGGTTCTGACCCAGATTGAGCTGAGGTTCAGACTGCCTTACCTGGAAAGACTGCTTGACTATTTTCTGTGCCTCACTACAGCCTAATTGGAGAACTTCTTCTCCTTTCTGTACTCCTAGGTGAGTTCAGGCTATTAAGTGGGGCTACAGACAGTAAGAGATGTCTGCTACAGGGTCAGCAAAATAGGAGAAATGAAAAGAGCCACAATATCTCACAAAAGCAAGTGACCTTTATGTGATGAACCTATTAGAGTTTAAAAAATAACTAATCCCAATGAAACAAGTCACAAAACACAGGAGCAATGAAGGTAACTGTCCATTTACTCTGTAGGAATGCAATGCAGGTTTTTACTGTTCAAAAACAGAGATGCACCTCTGAATGCTGTATTAAAAAATATGTAATATGTAATATTAAAACCTGTATAACAATAATTACATTGCAGTGCTACCAACAAGTTCCATCTGAGGTTGGTGCCCTGTTCTTTTCTGTACACCAGAAGACAAAGGCTGTGCCTGGAAGATGTTGCAATCTATTTTAAGACAAAATGAAAACATCCCAAACCACCTAAAATGAGAGAATATGAATACAGGAGAGATACATTTCTGATAGGCAGGATTCCCTCAGGTGTACAGACCCTTATCAACATTATTATACACTTGGATGATCACCCTAACCACTCACAGCAGAGCAAATGGCAACAGGGTCCAAGGCAGAAATATGTTCTTAAATAAGGAAGATGCAACACATATAGTAGCAGTGTAACAGACTATTAAATGGCCACAAGCTTTTAAATTAATTAATTACAGGTAAGAGTCCATAAATGATATGACATTAACTAAATGTTATATACTTTGCTATTTAATTTAAAGCTGCAAATAGTTGGTTCCTAACATGTGTGGACAGAATGGTTAACAGAAAAGGAGAATAAGACAAAAGGAAGACATCTGACAGACCTCAGGGAGTCTTGCTCATTCAACATTGGGTAACTGCTTTAAACAAAATCAGACACATTCTTTGTGTTGACCTAACATAACTATAATTTTAAGATATTTATGTTTTAGTGCACCAAGATTAAAATAACTCTGAATTCATATCAATGTCTCTTTTTATTCCAAGCAAAACATCTATTCTATTCTAAAAACATCCTATAATTTATTTTAAATTACATTTCATTTACAATCATTATATATAATGATATGCAATTTATTATATAGAATATAGAGAAAGGCACTTGATTGAATATTAAATTTAAAATAGAGAAGAATTTTGGGGGAAAAAATCTGCATTTTAAAAATTAAAATTTTTTTTCACAATTTTCATACATTTTTTAAACAGTTCATTGACAAAGCTGATGAATGTAGTTTTAGTTGAAAAAAAAAACTTGTTCATCACATCTCAAGCAATTTTACATTTGGTAGTTCAGATACTCATCTACAAAATCCCTCTCTGAGGCACACTAAAAAAAATCTTTGGATAAAAGACAGTGAATGCTGAAAACAGTTACAAAAGAACTATATACAAGAAATCTATATCAAAGGAAAACTGACAACAATCCCAAATAGCTGCCTGTGCAGCAAGTAGAAGAAAATATTCCTACCTAAACAAACACAGCTGGAAAACAGCTCAATATTCTCTTTACAGCATTTTCACTGAGGGATGCAAAATGATATCTGCCAGCCTCAGAGAAGCAGCTGAAGGAAGATTATACATCTATAGGTGGGGGAAACCTTTGCACTGATATTTCAAAGACTTCAAGAGGTTAGTGTGATTTCTTTGTGCTGAGGCAGAAGTGCTATATTCAATTTGGCAGCAGCCTCAGCGGCAAGATAGACTCCATTTAGTGGATCCAGACCAGATCCAAATCAAAAAGACACCCTCTTTAATACAGGAAATGACTGGCTGGTTAGAAATCCACTGAAATCTAAGGACATATTCATTGATGGTCATCTTAAAAGAAGCAAGCAATTAACTTTATTTTTCTAGGGTGTCTACCTTGAATAGTTAGGAGAGTGTCTTCTTTTTGACTAGCACTGATCTGTACTTTCCACTTTCAGCAGGTACTCAGTGACTGCATTTAACCTAATACATATCAACGCCCACAGGAGCCAAAGCAGAGTAAGTCCTCACAGGTGATAAGGGGTAATGGTAGTATTTCATCATGTCATGGTGACCCACATCATGTCATAGTGGCCAGGAAATAAAGCTAACACCCCACATCTCTGAATGCATTTCTTTATTGAGGACATTAGGGAGAATTCAAAATTTTCTCTCGTTTCTACTAGTGCACACCTACATTGTGGATTTCTCATTAGATGGTGCCCTAATAACATTACAGTTAATGCTCATGACAGTCTACTAATTTGCATACTGAGGGCACACTGAGATGAAAAGCATAAGCAGTAGGTTATCTCAAGAGCCTGAAGAAATCTGAAAGTAGTATCTGAAAAACAAATGACAAACACTAAAAACAACAACAGAAAACCTGCCTGTAAATTTAATGATCTTCTGTATGTCCTCCTAGCAGATCTTCTGTAGTTTATATTTCCAATAGATTCTATATTTGTACAGAAATAGATCATAAAACTCAGAACTTCTGTGATGTTTGTCCAGACTTTGGTCTAACCAGCAGAACTTTTCAGGGTTTTTGAGCTGTAGCTGATGTACTGATATAGTGAGGCAGATGAAAACAGAGAAAGAGCCTACTCCCAAGCCTTCCTGCCATCTGAAT